TGGATGACTACATCAAATCAGGTCACATGAGTGCATGTGAGCAACCCATTTCTGGTGAATGTTACTATTTACCCCATCATGGAGTATTTAAGGAGAATCCCCCTAATTACAAAATACGAGTCGTATTTGATGGTAGTTCCAAAACAAATAATGGCGTCTCCCTAAACGATATCCTCATGCCTGGCCCTAAGTTGCAGAATGATATTAGTGATGTCTTGCTGTACTTTAGGTGTCACAAGTTTGTGTTCACTTGTGATATACGACAGATGTATCGCCAGATTCTGGTGGCTGAAGATGACAAGAAATATCAGTTAATCTTTTGGCGATCCAACCCTGATGAATCCCTTCAAGTCTTAAAGCTAAATACCGTCACCTACAGTCTCAACTGTTCCCCGTTCATTGCGATCAGAACATTACAACAATTGGTCAAAGATGAGGGTCACTCATACCCCAAGGCGTCTGAGATTCTAACTAAATCAATATTTTATGACGACATCATCGCTGGAGCAGAAAGTCTTGATGAAGCTTTGTCTGCACAGAATGAACTCAAGAACTTGCTCTCTAGAGGAGGTTTTGAACTCCGAAAATGGATTAGCAACGCACCCCAACTATTGGACCAAGTCCCAATTGAACACAAAGAGACTCCAGTGGAGTTAACTGAAAATAGTGAAGCCTTCTTCAGTGTCCTAGGTCTAAAATGGACTCCAGAGTCCGACATGCTTTCTTACAAGGTTAAGGATGTTGAAATAAGTGCTATACTTACAAAGAGAAGAATATTATCTACAATCGCTAAACTGTACGATTTACCAGGATTTCTTACACCCGTAATTTTCTGGGCAAAAACACTTATTCAGTATCTCTGGACAACAGGGCTAACTTGGGATGAACCTGTTCCAAATGATGTTAGAACCAAGTGGCATTCATTCTTAGAAGAACTCCCAATAATTCAAGAACTAAGAATTCCACGCTACATTTCTACTTCTCTGCATACGGCTGTGCAACTCCACGGCTTCAGCGATGCTTCAGAGAAAGGCTACGCTGCTGTTGTCTACCTTCGTGTCACTGACTCTCAAGAGAATACAAGGCTCTATCTCATCGTCTCTAAATCAAAAGTCGCTCCTTTGAAAAGAATTTCTCTGCCACGGCTTGAACTTTGTGGCACTCACTTACTGGGAAAACTTCTTCAATATTCTTCAAACATACTCTCTGCTCATATGAAAATTGAATCAATCTATGCTTGGTGTGACTCCACAATTGTCTTAACCTGGATACGTACTCTTCCATACCGCTTGAAAGTCTTCATTGCCAATCGTATTTCAGAACTCCAAGAATTGGTCTCTCCTCACTCATGGAATTATGTCAAATCTCAAGACAACCCGGCCGATTGCGCCACTCGTGGTCTTTCACCCTCTCAGCTTGTGACTCATCATTTATGGTGGAATGGACCGGAATGGTTACAGTCATCGCCAGATTCTTGGCCTAAGCCAAAATTCACACCTGTTATTGATGATGACACTCTTGAAATAAGGCCAAATCCTCTAAACATTCTAGCAACCACAGAGAAGATTAAACTCACTGATTTTGATATACTAGAAAAATATTCATGTTTCAGGAAACTTGTAAATGTCATGGCATATATATTGCGATTCATTCATAATCTGCAAGCCAATGATCCCCGCATTGGACGACTTACTTGCCAAGAAACTTCTTCAGCGAAATTAAGAATTTTCAAACTCATACAAAATACATCATTTAAGGATGACATCTCTGCTCTCAAAAAGGGATCTCAATGCAGCTTAAAACTTGCTCGTTTATCCCCATATATTGATGACAGTGGAATAGTGCGAGTAGGCGGCAGGTTGAAACATTCCAACCTTACACAAGATGCGAAACATCCAGTTTTGTTACCTAAATCTCACTGTACTGTCAAACTGTTGATTATGCATTATCACCTAAAGCATCTACACGCAGGCCCTCAATTGCTGCAGTCTATTCTGTCTCAAGAGGTTTGGATATTATCAGCCCGCAGCGTGATAAGATCTGTGATTTTCAAGTGTCAAAGATGTTTCAGACTTAAGCCTGTAAACAAACCTCCACTGATGGGAGATCTTCCTGAAACTCGATTAAAACCTGTAAGGCCATTCTATCACACTGGCATGGACTATAGTGGACATTTTGACATTAAAGTTCATTCAACTAGGAACACTCAACGGTTAAAATCATACCTCTGCCTCTTTGTATGTTTTGCTACGAAAGCTGTGCACCTAGAAATTGTAACAGACCTATCTGTAGACTCCTTCATAGCTGCACTAAAACGTTTTGTTTCTCGTCGTGGATTGTGTGCCCACTTATACTCAGATTGCGGAACTAACTATGTTGGAGCCTCAAAGCAACTCATGAAAACTTTTCAGAATTTCATCAAGGAATCAAACACTAAAGATGCTCTTAACAACTTCGCGTTAGATCACTCAATACATTTTCACTTTCAACCACCAGCCGCTCCCCACCAAGGAGGCCTATGGGAGAGTGCTATAAAAAGTTCTAAATATCATCTGAAAAGAGTCATAGGCGATAGAGTTCTAACACTAATGGAAATAATAACACTCGCCACACAGGTGGAGGCTGTACTCAACTCGAGACCTTTGACAGCATTATCCGCAGATCCATCCGACATCTCAGCCCTTACTCCGGGTCATTTTCTTATCGGCACTTCGCTTGTGGCAGTACCGGAACCAAATCTTGAAGAGGTTCCCGAAAATCGTCTCAACCATTGGCAAACTGTACAAGCCCTACATCAACGCTTCTGGCGACGTTGGCATCAACAATATTTACATCAGCTACAACAAAGAAAGAAATGGGAAAAGCCCAACAAGAATCTAGAAGTGGGTGATCTCGTTATAATTCAGGACCCTAGAACACCACCACTACTTTGGCCTCTTGGACGCATAGTGAAGACTTCGCCTGGATCGGACGGCATCGTCCGAGTTGTCACCATCAAGACTCAGCGGGGAACCTTCTGTCGTCCTGCTACCAAGGTGTACCCGCTCCCCTGATCTCATTATCAGATCAAACAAAATGTTTATTCTATTTTCAAACATATTTCTATTTCAATGTTATGTATATATATTTAATCTATGTTTCTTATATTTCAATGTCAATCTTTATTCATTATGTGTCACTTTGTAACTTTCTCAATGTTTTGAACCATGTATGGTTCAAGGCGGGCGGCATGTTCCGTATTCAAGCGCTACCTAGATATTTCCAGACGTTTCATATCATACAATAACCTTTGTCCTGTCACGTGATGTCTGGAAACCCCAATCTCGCCCCAGTTCTCTTGCATTCATGCAACTACTAACATGTCCCCGGCACAATTAACTCCCAATTGCTGCTCTCATCTCTTAACCCCAAAGTATATTTAATTATTATTAGTGACACATTATTAAAAGTGAACTATTGAACATTTGTGAAGTGAAACACTACTACTGCCGGTCCGGGTCTGTGTACGAGCAATACGCAATAGCTGGCCAGCAGAAGAAACTCGTGTACGTCTACCGGCTTCGTCTTCTCAACACTTCAGTTAAAAGGAAGGTACCTCATCAATCTCATTATTATCTGTTAAATAATTAGTGACAAGTTTTTAACATTGCTCTTTCAACATACAGTCCATTTGAACATTTTTAGGCAAGTTTACCCCCCACTACCCAACCGATTTTCATGATAGAGGTCTCAAAATGAAGGTATGCACGCACAGATTTGCCATCAAGCATTGGCATACGGTATATTTATCTATAATCCCACTCGGCTTATACGTAAACAAAATTTGCTCCCCATGTATTTCTTATGGGGGTTACATTTAGTTTCTTTTTTCCGAGTTCGTTTGACTCTTCTACCTGACCGATTTTCATGATTAAGGACTCAAATTGAAGGTATGCACGCAAAGTTTTCACATTAAGCATCAGGCAGGATATAATTTCAGTAATACCTACTGTATTACCTACTGTACTATACCTGTATTACTCTGTGGGGAGCGAGCTGGCATAGTGGTTAGAGAGCGGAACTTCAGTCCCTGAGGTCCCGGGTTTGATCCCCGCCAAGTCACCAATGGATTTTATCTAAGTGATAATGCCGCAACCCCTAGGTCTAGCCTGAAGTAATGTGAAAAACAATCCCAGGCTCGTGCCTAGCGTCCTAGGAAAAAAAAAAAAAAAAAAAAAAAAATGATTACTCTACCAAAAAACATAATTTGATACATTTTCAAATTCTTACTACAATTTAAGATGTATTTAACCAGTTATAATTATATAATCCTATATATTTTGGTCTTAAGAACCTTCAGTGAAATCGTGCTTTCATTTAAGCTGAACAAGTTTCAAGCAAATACAAGGTGAAAACCCACATAAAAATTATTTTTCATAAGGTTTTTCTATGATTAAAAATCAATAGCTCCGACTCAAAATAATCAGTAAATTATAGGCTTTAATTTGAGCTATTGATAGTTTGAATCAGTTAAGCTCATGATACTGTATTACTCAATCATAAATCATAAATTTTATTATTTCTCGGATATTATATTTATTTTAACACTGCAGAGCAGCATGGGTCCTCTAGTTATTTATTAAGATAATTTATTAAGAATAGCTGGGTAAAATAAATATATGTATATATCTTACTAATATTATAAATGTGTATATATATATATATATATATATATTTATCTTACCCAGCTATTTTACGGATACAATAGCAGGGTACCTCTAAATGACCAGAAGTTCACTGGTTTCTAGAGAAAAGTAGGGTACTAGCTTTTGGTAGTTAGAAACTGGATCCAGAGCTATCCTGGATCTTTGGGCTTTTAATAATCCTGGCTTAAAGAAAAAAAGGTCTCAAGTCAAAGCTATACAGCTATTCAAAGCTATATAGCTCATCCCAATCCACATTGCAATCATGTCCAGCTTGAAGCACAATGATCCAATGGTTGTTTTAATAATTATTTTCAGGAAATGCTATGTATGTGTTTGGTGGGTGCACTTGTACGAGCACGACATTCAACGACCTGTGGAAGCTTGACTTGTCGGCCAGGAAGTGGTCTAGGCTGCTCACTATGGGTACGTACCCGACACCCAAGGCTCTGGCCACGCTCGTCTACTACGAGGGTCTTCTCGTCTTGTTTGGCGGCTGGACACACCCCACCCCGTTCCCTTTGCACCAGGTAACTTTTTGGTTGTCTAATGAAAATACAGTATATACACTATTTAATTAGGATGTGTTGCCTGGTAGTTAGTCTAAAAAACTTCAGTGCGAGAGAGGCAGGTACGATTCCCGGCACACCCGGACAAATTATAAGGGTTAGGACTGCTTTCCCTATATTCCATGACAACATTTAAATATATAGCAACTACTATATTGTTGTCTGCAGGGGTGCCCATCACCCCCAAAGCTCACGTCGCAGAATCCCCCCCCCCCCAAATTCCTTGTTTAACCCAGGTCTGGGGGCTAACCAAGGCCCCACTAGAAAAAACAGGCCATGCTGCAGGATCCATGACCTGTGACTAGTGGATAGATTTCATTGATAAATTCATTGTCATTGCCATTCCCATATTTTTTAGGTAAATAAACAAGCTGGCTGTTTGTAAGATTTTAATGGTAAGAGTTTAGTACAACTATCCACCACTGTGACGTAGTGTTGCGCTGCCCGTGCAGCATGGCCTGTTTTTCTCGTGGGGCCTTGGGCTAACCCACAGTTAAAATGTGGGGTGAGGGAGGGGGCATCCCCGACACTTCTTTAAATTACACTGCAAATTTATGGGAATTTAAGCTTTTGAATCAAACTTTTAACTCAAATGAAATAGACAATTTTGCTTTTAAAAGTGCCAAATAATAGAAAAAACTAATTATCGGTGGATTTTATAAATAATTCACCAAACATGCTACAAGTCAGATAGTGGAAATCCAAATAAACACATTTATATATTTTATAGCCATTATAAAATGATTTATTTACTAAGACAAATTGTCAAATGGGATTTTGATTGCATAATTAATTAATTAACGTAATTTAAATTAAGGAAGTCGTAAAAACTATCTGATAATTCTTTTATGTGCTTCTAACCAACCAATGGCTTGAATCCCCCCAAAAATCATAAAATCCCCCCCCCCCCCAAAAAATCTGATAATCAAACCCCTCCGGTGGGCACCCCTGGTTATCTGTACAAAAACAAAATTAAAATTGTTCCGGTTTTGAACTAGTTTTGAATCCAGGCGTGGAGGACATTCAACGAGTTACATGTGTACGACATCGGTGAGAACAGGTGGAGTTACGTGATCACGCCACAACTGTCACCTCCGCCCATGGCTGGTCACTCCGCCTCAGTACACGGGGACGACATGGTTGTGTTTGGTGGCATATGTGGACAAATGGTTACTGGCAGGTCAGTCATTCTACCCATAATAGTGATTCACTTAAAAACTAACTGTGGATGTTACTTAGAGGACAAGGGCTTAGGTTGTAAGGATTTTTAGTGACATAGAAATATTTTATATTATTCATTGTGACCCTTAGTTGGTATATATTATTGATAAAATAAAATGATTACGGTACCTTATCCAACCACAATGGTTGGTATGACGAATAGTTTCCTTCCTTAGAACTTGGCCAGGTCATTTTGTATGCAACCACATCATCAGTGTATTAATACATTGTGGCATGTCAATAAATTCTTTAAAAGACTGTCACAATCACAATAATTAAAACTTGTCAAGTTGATAAAATAATTAAAATAGAATAAAAATTGATAAAACTGAGTTTAAAAAAGTTATATTAATGAAAGTGCAGCACTGTCTTATCACTGCCACTGACTAAATAAAACTGACTGAATCTTGATGTTTCTTCTTCTCTCTAGTGATGATGTGGTTGCATATAAAATGACCTGATTAATTTCTGAGGGTCAAAACTATTCGTCATACCAACAACGGTGGTTGGATAAGGTAATCATTTTATTTCATCAAGAAATATTTTACTTAGACAAAATGTTCTTTTTAATGCACAATTCATATCGTGGTGTGTGTAAAAAGGTCGATTGATTGCATTTTCAAAAATGGTAACAGCTGAGGGGTGATAAAGGGAATATCTCAAACTACTGTAGACTGTGCACGGTTTATCTGACTCCAAAACACTTATAGCCATGCTTTCATTACAGCAACATAACTATGGTATGCTTTCACAGTTTAAAGCAAATTCTTCCCTATAGGGCGAAAGATTTGTTCAAAGGAGGAACAATAACCCACCGACCTGGCACCAAGTTTTTTGTCTTGTTGGCCCCAGAGAAGTAAAAGTAATACTGTAGTTCAAGGATGTAACATAGAGCAAATAGGCCTGGGTTTTAAGGATTTTTTTTGGGAGGGTAAAAGCAAGCTTACCTGAATAGGAAAGAGTCCAAATTAGCACATAGACACACAACTTGACTCACCCAACTAAGGAAGAGAGAGATTTCCTTAAGTCCAATATGGTGGCCAGAGAGTTATTGAGGCAGTGTTGCAGTTTCAGTTGATCTTATATACACTCTATATACACAGTGTGTATAAGATCAACTGAAAATGTGTTTTTTGCGGGCCTGCATTGAAAGTTTAGGTTCATCTGGACATTTTTTGTGCATGGAGAGAGGTTTAGGTTTGGGCGAAACCGTACTCGTGTGAAAGCTCTCACATGATTCAATAGTAGGGATGAGCCGATTCTGATTCTCGATACCTCGATACCTTCGATAACAGTGGTATCGAAGAATCGCCGGTACTCGATACTTCTCTTCATTGTACTCGATACTGATTCTGAAAAGTGAGGTTAATTATGATGCTAAACTCAACTGACATAGAAGGTTGTAAAGAGTGGCACATCATAGTTTATTTGGAATACTCTGAACCTGAAGTCAACTAATATAAATAATTCCAAGTTCATTATCTCACATTCATAATAGTTTTATAATCCAAAATAGCTTGCCTTTGCATTTCACAACGAACGTTGTTCAAAATGGGTTATGATCTCTGTTCGAGTGATGTGACGAACTCCATGACTTCTATGTGATTCTTTAAGTAATTTAAGTGATATTGAATATGACTTTGATATTGACTTTGATTCTACAACTCAAGCAATAAGGAACATTCATTGTAGGCCTGGATGTACAAAAAAAAAAAAAAAAAAAACAGTGAACATTTTAGGCCTACTTAAACCGATGATTGTTGTCTCAATTAAATTTAGTAAAATATGTTAAAATAAAATGTATGTCTTCTTGAAGTATCTATTTTCTTTACAGGCTAACCTCAATAATCTATATAACCTTAAACAATAGCAATGCAGTTATCTTATTGTAAAGATTAAATAAAAATAACATGCTCCTTTATTTATAGGGATAGCGAGAAGCAAACATCAGTTATTAAATGAATTTTTAACAGGTATCGGTATCGAGTGCGGAATCGAGAATCGAAACCAAAATTGTAGAATCGGAATTGGTATCGTAATCGACCAATTCAGGAATCGGACCATCACTATAATAATCAAAACAGTTTTGTCTGATAGACACAACACTGGTGTGAAAGAAAGCTTAGGTGTTTTCCCTTCTTTTACCATATTCATATTATGTAATCTGAAAATAGCAAAAAGAAGATTTATATAACTCCAATGCAATTTTTTTAAACATTTTTATTCACATGCCAACATTTCTGTCCTGAATATTGTAAATTTTTTCTATTTATAAAAAAAAAATGTTGAAACACTTCTGGAGTCATTGTCATTGATCCTATAATTTAGAGACCTTTCTATTGCCAAATGGCCATATATTTTGTCAAGCCTTTCGGCAAAATAGAAAAGGAAATTTTTTAAAGGTATTGAATACCTGAATGTGATTGTTGCAGTGCTAATGATGTCTGGTGCTTTAACTTTGTGACTCAAACATGGAGGAAACAAGAGACCTCGAGTCCCAAGCCAGTGCCTAGATACAACCAGTCTCAGATCGCGATCAACAACAACAACCTGCTGATCATAGGTAGGACTAAGATTCAGCTTTAATGCCAGTACCAGTATTCTCTTTGTTTAAAGCTCATTTTTGGTAATGGTGGGTTTATGGTGTACATTCACATTTCCCCAATTTAGTAAAAAAAATAAGATTTTGCGATGTTTTGGGCTCTGAAATTTGATCCCTACCACAGGTGAGAAAGTAGCTAAATCACAACAAGATTAGTAGGCTACACAAACCCAGCTGGAAATTAGAATAAACACACTGAATAAAAACTGTATTAAAATCAGTATTGTTAACAACTTCTGATAGAAATGTCTGAAATAATCGCTCAAAGACCACCAGTATCTTGTATGCAGGTTATGGCTGAAAACATCAAAATACATTTGTATTCATCAACTGGCTAGCCTAAACAATTTTTTTTATCATTGCTCAATGCTTCATCTCACAAGTTATGTTTCGAATAATTGTTGATAAGTGTTTTTTTATTTGCACAGTATTTTCTCATTTCTTCCGATTTCATGGTGTTATAGTGTTGTAAAATTATATGGTATAATTTTGCGACAAAACATTCTAGGGGGGGGGGGGGAATAAACTAGTATCCACCAAAGTAAGGCTAGGCCTACCCCTAGAACTAGCCACACTCTAATTTCTTCCCTGTAGTGCTCAGAAGGAGCCGAGACAAATCCAGAGGTCGATACCAAGTTTTCACGGTTTTGACAAATCAATTTATTAAATTTAATTGAAGGCTTAGAGCTCTAGAAGCACTCCTGCAGACGCTCAGTTGGAGCTACATCATCCTCACCTTTGTTTAGGTGTTTTGGTAAATTTTGCCTAACTTTAAGATTAACTCTGTACGGCAGACAAGTATTCTATCCTGGCCAATGCTACTAGTTTAACTACTCGTGTTAAACTTAAAACTGTTTAAGTAAAATAAATGAACGTGCGGTGATTGAATTAACAAAATATAGTATAAAAATCACTACAGAGTCGTTGAGGCCCAATAAATATATTCAATTAATTGTTCAAATCTAAACACTTCCAAGACTTGGTTCTACCACCCGCCAATGACGGGGTTCAGAACTCAGACGACAAGTCTCGGGGTGTTAAAACGACGAATAAACTAAAATAAATTAATGTAATAATTATTCGTAAAGCGAACAGAAAAATCACAATTTTGAAACTAATTGATTAAAATAAAACTAAACGATAGCCACTGCTAGTCACTGGCAGGCAGGAACTGGCGAGTCTAGACTCAAGTCGGTGAGATTTAAGTTATTAAAATTAATTTAAAATTTAATTCGGAAACGAGGATGCGAATGTTAAACAAAAATTTAATTGCCCATAGCCCAAGCTATGGCCAACACATAGGACTAGGAGTAGGGTATTGTGTATGAAAACTGGTAAGTTCTGGTATTTGTTTAATCGTGACACATTTTTACCCCCCCCTTAAAATTTTGTACTTTACAATTTACCTATCCCTCAGTGATCCAATAGTCATCTACCTACAAGGAGACCGGATTCGCGATTTAATTATCATCATCAGACTAGTTCAAATGTCACATCACTTACGTTGAGGTATTCGGCAAACACACAAATGGTAACAAAAAACATCAAACATGGAAAAACATAAGAACTTTACTTTATGTACAATAGGCCAGTATAGGATTTTTGTCATTTAGATGACAATCGGATTGCTGACAGACAGGTAAATTAATCCACATATAATTCTTTGTAATTTGCCATTTTCAAGGAATTTTTTAAAATTTAAAGTTCCTTTTAACAAAAGACTCTTGCTAATCAGGTTGAATCAGAACAGAAAAGTTATGCTCCTAATATTGAAATATAAAAACATCTTGTCTCAGTCTGTACTTGTTGTTTGATGACAGGAGGTTGTGGAGGCCGGCCCAATGTACTGCTCAGTGACGTCTGGCTACTGACGATGACAGGCAACATCTGGCAATGGACACAGATCTCAGTCACCAACCCTCAGTGGGGGATGAGTCACCCCTCCAATGGACAGCTGTGGTGCCATCCAGCTTGCAAGGTGAAACAGCAATGTTTAAATGTGGTTGCCAGTTCTATATGGTGTCTAGCCCACCTGAAAACCAGGAATGGCATGTGAATAAATCTGCCAATAATTGCTTATTATTCTTTCCTTGCATACTTGTGTCAATAAAGAAAATTTTGATCGCAGACACGATGGTGACATGCTTTCAGAAGTTGCCGTGTTTAAAAATATTATATTACGTTACTAGCCCTGAAAATAGGTGGTCGAGTACGGGATTACCATACGAGTCCAGTAAACACATTTTGGACGAGTGACGTATGATATTTTACGCCATACTACTAAATCTGTACAAATCCTTATATATTACCACCGACTAAAGGACTAACAATCACTAGTCATAACCTGTAAGAGAGGTTATTTTTTTTTAACAACCACTCATACCAAATACATTATAATCAGCTGTTTGGTGTCCAGTAAAACTCATTACAGTACAGTAGTACTTAATGAAACCCCATTTAAACAGCTGTTTTCTGGACTAAATCCTTGCGTGGGACATTCGTGAAAATAGTTTAGTGTGGCGTAAAAATTATTACGAATGTTGCTGCAACTGCGGTAAATCAGCATAGATAATACCGCGATTGCAAGAGATGATCACGGATGTTGCCGAGATTGTGAAAGTTCCAGATACTGCTATGGACATGGCAGATGAACAGGGATGTTGCTAGGATCACTAGAAATCATCATGAATGTTACTATGATAACGATAACAGTAAATCACCACCAATGTTGCCATGATAATGGAAAATCATCACTGATGTTGCCGTAATCACTAGTGATAATGAGCACAGATGTTGCAGCAGTTGCAAGCGATGCTCATTAATAGTGGCTGCTATTCTGACAGCAAAAGTTTTAAAATCAATTGTTAAGTTTAGAACTGATTCAAAATAAAGAAAATAACAGGAAAACTGGATTTAAAAAAAAACTAAGATTGAATTTGAAATAGTTTTTTTTAAAGAATGTAAACGTTCGTGATCTAACTATGTACAATATTAATGAAGTCTTTTCCTATTGCCGGATCAATATCGGTCAATTCTATTATTCTCCTAAGTGGAGGTGTTTGGGGAAAATTTAAGTTACAACTACGATAAAAAACAAATTTAAACTATAAAACAAGTGACTGTATTTCTCATCAATGTTTACAAGTCATGAAACAAATTTGGACAACAAAACAGACAGCTGATAGTAAATAAACATTCATATAATCTGTAGTATGACTACAGTACAACAAATAACCTGCTGACAAAAAGGTAGGCATTTTCAACAAATTCAATACTCGTATTTGATTTCATCATTTCATTTTTGTTTTTCTTAAAATTTGTTAGTATATATTTCATTCAATCTATTTACTTTTATAGCTGAATAATGTGTTTATACTTTATTCTTCTTCGATTGCAGGTAATTTTGGTTCTTTGGATGCTTGTGTACACATACATAAAAGGAAAGTGCCTAAATAATAATAGTTTGTTGATTGACATACTTTTGTTTTCAGAGTGGTAACAACGTCATCTCTATTGGGCGTAACCCAACTTCTACGATGCCAGCGTTCTCATTGTCCAAGTGGAATCCTGTTGCGTCTATGCCACGAACACCTAATGACCTACAATCTCCTAGAAGGTGAGAGTAATATGACCAACACAAAGTAGTTTGAATTAACTTTTTTAAATGTCATGACTTCAACTTGATAAGCTGTTACACTTACATACAGTTTTGGAATTTTTAGCCAGAAGCGGTTAAGGTGTGGTGGGATATCTTTGAAGATCAACCTATTTGGCTGTAGTGCGATCATATGTTCATACGTGTCAAATTTTGACTATTTTCAGGTTAAATCAAAACAAACAAACTGGCATATTGTCAATTTAGGCATTTAGGGGCCGTGTTGTATTACTTACGAAAGAATGCTCATTTAAGATAAATAAATTTATTTAGTATATTTCATTGTATAATTTATAAGAAAACATTCAGTATTTAGGCTACTGCATTTTATAAACCAAACTTGAATCTTGCTTCCTTGGCCTATCGTATAACGTTATCCTGTTTGTACAAGGTAAACTTATCTGATTGCATTAATGAATGATCAGCAATAGAATTAGCTCTTAATTATAATTCAAATGGGTCAATACGTTAGTCTATAAAGGTTTTTCTCGTCATCTTGAAAGTATTTAATTCTGGTCCCTAACTTGAAACCCAAAAGGCGGGCCTATATTTATATGTTACAAGATTAAAAAAAAAAAAAAAAAAAAAAAAAAAAACGCAAATCATCATTACTGTATGTCCCAACAGTTACTTTATGTGTATCCCAGTCATAGCAACCACATTATTCTATTAATATGATGATCGGCATTAATTTTGCAAGAAGATTCATTTTTATTGTTTGCTCATATAGTTAATTATTTTTAAAGCAACCATCACTTTAAATAACAACTTCTTTATTAGTTGATTTGGAATTAGGAATCACGTCACTATTTCACAGTAAATATTCTGGTGTAAGTACTTTTATAAAAGTAGGCTAGAGTAAGTTTAAAGTATATTTAACTATTGTCAATTCCAAGAATATGTGCCAGTTTGTTTGTTTTGATTTAAACTCAAAATTTGACACGTATGAGCACGTGATCGCACTACAGCCAAAAAGGTTCATCTTCAAAGATATTCCACCACAACTTAACCACTTCTAGTAAAAAAAATCCAACTGTACCTGACCTTTTTCAAATAAGAAAAGAAAGTAAAATGAGTTTTATTATGAAAATATTGCAAAGCATCCTTAAAGCTTTAATTTTTGATAAACTAAACAGTACAGATTTTAGTCAAGTAGAACCCGAGAGAAACACAATTAGTTTATGTAAAATAGTTTATTTTGAACGTACATGTAATATCTGCTTGCCTTTGTGATTAAAACAATTTAAAATAAGGCCTAACCTCAGAACTTTTACTTAGTATGTTAAGTTATTTTTAATCGATATTGCTGAAGGAAAACATAAAATTGTTGTTTGATATAACAAATTTTACATTTCTATATTAATTAAATCTTGATAATCTGAAGATAAATATTTTTAAGCTTCACATTTAGTGTAAAATTGTATTCAATTGAAAATATAAGTTTTAAATTTGTAAGTCCAGTTTTAGGTTTTACTTGGCTTTTGAGGAAAAACCTATATTTTGTTAGAAAAGCTTAATTGTATTGTTATTCAGGCCTTCAGATGGCTCTTTACCTCCGGTGGACAGAGATGTGAATGTGAACGGACGAAGGGGAGTCCTGCCGAGACCTAGAGCACCAGTCGAACCTTCCACGTCCGGGAGTAAAGACCAAGAAGAAGCTCCGGCAGATCCCAAGTGCCATAAACCAGAGATCAAGGTGGGAAAGTCTCCATTCCGGAACATAAACTTGCCAACCAATAACAACATGGCTGCGTTCCGAGCATCTCCGGGTGGAGCAGGGAAACATCGGGAGCGTCAGTTGGAGGCGTTGCACAGAATGGAGGAGAGACTACGTAGCTTGTCTCGCAACAATCAGGTAAAGGAGAAACTGCCCGAGGCCGTGAGGCAATGTCCTCCCAAGATGGCGATGTTTGTCATGGACATTACCAACGTGTTGACGGACAACGCTGTGACATGGCTGCCGATCAAGAGTGTAGCGACCGGAGCTCCAGAACACACCATCCTCTACTCACTCGTCCCCGGCCAGGGCGAGATCATCATGTTCGGTGGAATACAAAAAGATGTTTCCCAGTTTAACGTTGAAGAATCCTCTTTGAACGTTATAAACACTGTTACTAACACATTGCATTTCATCACTGCCCCGCAGACTGTGATCTAAGTTTTAAGTTTTTGAATGTACAATGCCTGTGTAAATTTGTAATGTAGTTGTTATCGGAAGTTTTTTTAGGAGCTTGAAAGGATTATTTAAATGTAAAAGATTACCATGGTTAATTTGTTAAAAATGAATTTCTGGGAGGTTAAACAAATCTGAATTAATTGAGTATTGATTCAGTGCATGTATGAGAGTTGTCCGTAAATTACTTCACTTGCTACTATTCTAGCTATAGGTTCGGCCACTCCTGACAATGGTCATATTATTCGAAAACGTTGCAAAAGAAATTCAAAGCGCCAAATATGTATCACATTCTATGATTAGATTTCTTCGGTCTCACTTGACAACTATTTTTGATGTCTATTTTCAATTTACTGACATGAATGGAGTAAAGAATCTAGATGTAGAAAATCAAAATATGCACAAGGAGTGGTATTTCGGAGTTGGTAGTAAACATTTGTATGATATTCACCATGAGCTAGGCTGACTTTTGTTGCTTATCAGTCTCAGTTGTAGCAATGACCAAAGTTGGTGGAATTTTGCATGCGGACCGAATGAAAGAGATTATAAAACTAATAGTAAGACCATCAACGACTCCAGTCAGCTCTGGAGGTCCGAAACAAACCGATCAACAAGCTAAGATTCCTCAAATTCAATCACCGTCTCGATGGAAACTGATAAGCACCCATTGCCATACATTGTGCAAACATACAAACTCCCTAAGTAACTAATGCACATTTTCTATGCAAACAATTTATATCCAAAACACTTTTCTGTAGAAAACACATGTGAAAAAATTTTTTTAATAATTAAAGTTTTTAATTTTACACTTTGATTATCCAATAAAACTTTATTGTGAACAAAATGGCAAAAGAATTATTAATTTATAACCTAAGGTTTTTTCTATAACAATTATGCCAAGAGTAAAAGTCTACAAATTTGGTAAAATTAATTGCTGACCAAGGGCACTGCAGGCACCGCATTAATTCCTTTCCTCAATGGGTTGATCGTGATTTTCCCGAAAATGGCCCGAAGGATTTTGATAAAAATTTAGTATGTTATCTATAAGTATAAAAGAGGACTAGTGGCTTGTAGGGACATAAGTCCCTAAAAAGCTTAAATGTAAAACAACTTTTTGCAATACCGGTATTTAAACAAACTCAGAATAACATTATCTATGTGTCAGAATAGGCATCCCTACACCATATCTTTTGTGTAAAAACCAGTTTGTTGTTCTTCTTTGTTTGCTTTTGTTGATGTCATTTTCAATAAATAATTTGAATCACTCCAGTGGTTTAACATGAAAAGGCAGCAAACATATCATTGTTTGTGAATAAATACTGGTTTACTAAGGTAGCTTTGGTCTTGTGGTTAATGAGGATAAATAAAAGCTTCCCTGTTTGGAATTTTAAAAATTCATTGGAGGTTCGCCTTCAGATGAATTGAAGACGCCTGCAATTTCATCTGCAGTAGGCTTATTATACCTACGACGATCCATATTTATCCTGTCTACAAACCTAAGTTCTAATTCACTGTCACCTTGTACAACCATTTCTTCCGAAGCTCTTTTGTAAATTTGTGCAAATGGATTTTCTAATAGAATTTCAGCTAGTTTTGACAATATTTCAGGTTTTAAGTCACTATTTTCTCGACGCCTTTGACGAATTTCTGTTGCTGTTGATGTGTCAATAATGTACAATTGGCCATACACGGGGTCTTCATCATGTTGAGGCAGCAAATCTGAGATTGAACGATAAATCTGTCCTTGAATTTTGAAACAGTATGGTCCTTTTCCTGGAATATCTTTCTTACTGGCTGAAAAATAAGCAAAAGCCATCGCACTGTTGCATTGTCGAATGAATTTATACAGTTGTGGGCTCTCTTCAAACAAACTTTTAAGTTCTACATTAGTTTTTGACTGAGGAAGGTTAATAAGTCCGTTATGGCAACATGTCATAAAATGATTATTCGTTAGTTCTTCTCTAAAATGAAGAGCACTACATTGAATGCACTCTTGGTCCAATAACCTTCAGTGACCTGCATCATGGATCTTTACATTTCTCTCGTCTACCATGGGTCTCCTAAAAAGGGGTTGTAACATATCTTGATTAAGTTCGTCATTATCTACTCTTGCTCTCCTACGCGCACTGTCATTCCTATGAACAGTTCCCCGCCTTTGTGGTATTCCCCTGGCATTCATATTAATTACAGTACTTATAATGAAAAGAATATATATCCAGCAGCCTACATACCAAAACATCTTGAATCCCTGGTGATTTTATAAAAGTATGATCGAATATGATTACTCTACATTGTATATTCACTGCACTAAAAAAATTTACTTACGAAGGAATAAAAATACACCATTTTAGAACCAATAACATTTATAGGTTATTTTAGTTGTATATATTTACACAACCTTAACCTTAAAATGTGTAGAAATATAAAGAAAACAACATCATTTAAAATAAACTTGAACATATGATTTAAAAATAAAAACAAAACAGAAGTTAGATTTAATTTTGACTCTTTGATTATTTATACAGAATATTTATTCTATGTCGTTTATTCCTTTAACACGACAATTAGGTAAAAGCATGAAAAAATGAAACTTGAGTATATGATTTAAATATAAACAAAGAATGCAGACGTTTTTCCGACTAATCTTCAATATTTCAGTTTTATTATAGTATACATTTCATAGTTGACTGGCTAAAAGTAAACCAAATGTGTGTATTGATCACTGTTTTCAAATCTGTGGCACAGCTGTTTTAATTTCAAAAGATGTAAACAAATTAAACCCCATGTTGTTTTAATGGGAAAAGTTTTATTCTGTTGCGAATTTATGGTAAAAAAATAAGAAAAATGAATAGTTTTCCCTCAAAATTCACGTCAAGACCTTTAAAACAAGACCCCTCCCATCCTTCTACGGCCATCCAGTCACTCACAATTTCTTTACAAAAATTTGACTTACGGAATTATATATATAGATGTTTGTATATTTGTTTGTTTGGCAGTGATAAACTCAGACACCGCTGAACCGATTGCCACGAAACTTGGTACATACGTGTAGAATGTCATGGAATAGGTTTATACACCATCAATTTCGTGATCCGTCCAATCGGCTCCGCCCCAGTGGCTCTGGAGTTTCCCATGTTAACCTTATGAGAAATGGAATTAATGAATCTTAACAGCTGTTTCAATTAAACAAGTTGGTTCTGTTCTATGATGTTCAATAGCATTAAAGTTACAAGGATTACCAACAGGGTGCAGCACTATTATTTCTTTTACATTTATGACAACAGCTAATTTGCAACCAAAAGGTGAGTGAGCATAGCGAACGAACTTCAACCTGGAGGCGAGTTAGCATAGCGAACGAGCTAACCTGAAGGCAAGTGAGCATAGCGAACGAGCTAACCTGAAGGCAAGTGAGCGCAGCGAACGAGCTCCAACCTTAAGGTGAGTGAGCGTAGCGAACGAACTTCAACCAGGACGTGATTGAGCCATGCAAACGAGATCATCTTGAAAATTAAGAAGTTAAACGGGGCAAAGCCCACGGGATTATAAATAGTCAAAGGCAAGACAACGTCTGCCGGGTTCAGCTAGTATTCCTATAAATTCAAAACAAAATGGTACAAATCCCATTCATGTAAAAACTAGCAGAGTACCCGTCCTTCAAACGGGGTTGGAATATAAGTATAAACTGCTTATTGCAGTTTTACTCAAGCTTTGCGTTTGCAATAAGGGAGGACACAGTTAGATAAAATTTGCTTTTTTAAATTTACAGTATTCTACAGGGTGTTTTTTTAAGTGTGCCACCATTGGGATCTCAGTAACTAATGCTTTTACAGCAAACCTTAAAGGGGAACATTCCCTTGTTTTTAAAGAGGTTCAAAAATAATTAAATACAATTTTTGTAAATGGCCGCCATTTTCCAATATGGCGGTCAACTTTGAAATTTCTTATGGAACACCCTATATTTTATCATGTTTTCGGATAAAACATGCAATTTAAAAACTTTTTTATTTTTGGCATTTTTTCAATAAACCCACTCCTTTAGTAACATTGAAACAAAGAAATTTCTTATGAAACACCCTATATTTTATCATGTTTTTGGATAGGACATGCAATTTAAAAACTTTTTTATTCTTGACATTTTTTCGATAAACCCACTCGTTTAGGAGTTACAGCCTATGGAAAAATGACTTCCGGTGTACATTTTACATCATGTAGCTCCTAAACAAGAAGGTTTATAGCGAAAATGCGAGGAGTAAATAAGTCAAATAAGTCTTAAAATTGCATCCACATTCCAAAAAGACCATAACATTCGTTAAAAATATTAATTCTATTATTTAAAAAATGGCGGCCATTTTCCAAATGGTGGCGAACTTGAAAAGTGGAAAACTGTGTATTTTATGGTCTTTTTGGAATATGGATGCAATTTTAAGACTTATTTACTCCTCGCATTTTCGCTATAAACCTACTTTTAGGAGCTACATGATGTAAAATGTACACCGGAAGTCATTTTTCCATAGGCTGTAACTCCTAAACGAGTGGGTTTATCGAAAAAATGTCAAGAATAAAAAAGTTTTTAAATTGCATGTCCTATCCGAAAACATGATAAAATATAGGGTGTTTCATAAGAAATTTCAAAGTTGACCGCCATATTGGAAAATGGCGGCCATTTACAAAAATTTTATTCAATTATTTTTGAACCTCTTTAAAATCAAGGGAATGTTACCCATTTAAAACTTTAAATGGGTAACATTCCCTTGATTTTCTCAGTAACTAATGTTTTTACAGCAAACTTGCTGTAAAAACATTAGTTACTGAGATCCCAATGGTGGCACACTTAAAAAAAACACCCTAGTATTACACATCTACCATAGCCATAATGTTCTACCACTTCACCTAAACAATAGAGAAAAATAAATTATCAACAATTCGCAAAATATCACAAATTATTCATTAAATGAGCTGTTTTCATAAATCCAAAAAAATATAGTGCTGCACCCTGTTGGTAAATCTTATAACATTTTAATGCTTTTCCATATCATAGAACCAACTTTTTTAGTTGAAACAGCTGACTAAATTCTTTAATTCCCTTTAAATATGAATACTCATAAGGTTAACATGGGGAATTACAGAGCCACTGGAGCAGAGCCCGAAAGGATTTTTGAGATAAGAATATGCCTATATGTTAATCGGGAATGTAAGCTATCATTATGCCAAATTTCAGCCCAATCCGTCCAGTGGTTTATGCGTGATTGAACTTCAAACACACAAACTTTCACATTTATAATATTAGTAAGATTACGACTCAAAAGTTATTGTAACTTATGTTATTTTCCCATTAAAAAGCCACAAATAACAAAAAATCTGATTTTAGAAAAAAACCGGTTTTGATTCAAATTAGTACCTATGTTATCCTTGTGGTCCTTTAAATTCAGAACAAAATGGTACAAATCCCATTTTCATACAAATTACGGTTCAAAAGTTATTGTAACTTTTGTGATTTTCCCTATTAAGTATAACTAGTGGTCGTCCTGTGGTCAAAACTCGACCAAAAATAATATTAATGTACAGACTTCTCTATTTTCTCCCCACACTGTAAATAAAACATGTGATTGGGATTTCTTCCATTTGTTTTGATTTTCTGTTTACATTTTGTTGTTATTTCGTCACCATCATGGCAACCCAGTTGGTCCATGTTAATTTTTTGAAGTTTTCAAATTCGTTTGTTGTGCTTATTTTTTAGCCTATTTTGATTTATAAAGGGATTCTGCACATCTATCTTTCTAACAGTATGCGTAGATTTCCCCTGCGATGCACACGATCTGAGAAAAAAGGTTTTAAAGAAACATGCTTGCCTATTAATATATAGATAGATAATTACTTTTTACCCATGATAAAGGTTGTTGACAAGCTAATAGGAGAAAGTATATCTCAGATTGCCGATACCGTTTATTTGAACACTCTAACGAGATTAATCATCGCTTAGGGGTGGGAACCTGCTGAAGTAGCAGTGGAAGAAGTTAGGAACACGATGTTGGTCTTAGATTTAAACTATCTCACACAGCTGTGACTGGAGCTCAATGGAGACTTTAATTTACGGACAACCTTATATTGTTGAGGCAGCCATTCATTGTTGACTGTATTTTAAGCCTTCTAAAAGAGTTTGGGAAAACAAACACATGCATTCAATAAAACAAAGTTCTGTTTAGTATTTACTTTAGATTGTCAAATCAAGCAACCATTTATTATTGTACATTTGATTAGATATGTCAAAGACTGTTTGTTGCACTGTGAACATTAGATATATTTAAGTGTCAGCATTGAGCTCAATGAATCTTCATTACTTTAGAAATGATTATAAAAATGATTTACTTTCAACCAGTGAACATTAATTTTTACCCTGTCTAGTTTGTGGTGATGTGTTGGTACCACTTTTTAAAATCCATACCAGTACCAGATCCTGACCAAAATCACGGATAATCACAGGTGTTACCTTGATTGCGAGAGATGATTACGATGTTATGATCGCTAAGAAAGTGGTTTTAATTCCAGTACCTTCTTGCCACCTTGGTTGCTGTTCTTAGTTGCATCACCCATGTCAGACTTTACTGTCAAAAGGCCTGTGCTCTTTTGGTATCAAACTATCGTTGCTTTTCTCAAGAGTTGGTGGTACTGAGATTTTACTTCAGGTACTGACTCATCACCAATGTTAGTAATACTAATAATGCTTCACTAAAACTAAAAGTAAAAATTTTGTTATACAAGCTCAAGTATAAAGGGTGAGGCCTTACAATTAAGCTTCACCTACAAATGGCATACAGGCTACTTGGGGGCCATACAATTAGATGAAACACCATGTGAAGAAGTATATTTTTGTCGTTTTGGACAACTAGCTTGTTACTTAAATAAAAATGTTATACTTTGGTACTTTCAAAAGTTACTCTGCAACTTGGATTTTACAATATGATTGATATCTTTATCATCAGGGCCCTGTTTCATTTTTTGGGGAGGGATATATCCCTCCCATCCATACTCCCCCCCCTGGGACCGCCACTGTAGTAATACTTACAAGTCTACGTTTCAAAAACCCACTAGTGTAAAATACTAGTAACTAGTCAAATATAATATAAGCAATAATAATGTGGCGTAGTACAAAATGAGTGAAATTGAATTTTATAATGGATGTACAATCGCTCTATTAGAATAATTTTAATTATAAGTTATCAATTTGTGTGAAATTTTTTACAAATTTTACTTGAGTTAAATTTCATGGTTATATCAACTACTCGCCTTTGGCTCGCTGGGGATCCGCCCCCAGGCCCCTTTTTTTGGTTGGAGGATTGTTGGAAATTTAATTGCCTTGAAATAAATCTATTTCTGAGTAAAATAATACACCAATAAGAAGCTAGTAAAGTACACTACTGCACTTATTATTAATCTGCACTACTGCACTGTAGTCTAATGCAACTGAATTGTTTTTGATACAGAAGAAATATTAGGGGGGTTTATTTGGCGAGGGGGGTGTAAATTGTATACACTTTTCTAAATTATTCCTTGGTTTAAAACGAAGACCAGTAACTAACAAGTCTTGACATGTTAGAGTCCTGATGCAGAGTTAGTTGTATAATTGTTACATACATTATTCATGGTTTGTAGACTCAAAATTAGAAAATCACCAAACGGTTGTTAACCCAAATATTCTTATGCATGAATATTTGAAAACATAGGTTAGCGTACTTTAAAACACTCCAAACAAAATGTCCTTAGACGATTTAATTACAATCTCAATTTGAGCCTTCTTTTCTTTGCTCGGTAAGTTTATTAATTTTATATGTCAGAATAATAAAAACTATAAAAATCACAGAGAATTTGGCAGCAACTGATCACCTTCCACCTAAACTGTTGAGCGCCGCAACTAGGCCTACAACCGGCTACTACAATGACCGTAGTACCTGCCATTTTGGATAGGGGTGCGGGTGAGATATCCACTTCGGGTTTGCATCATAGTGTTTCTTTTGACAAGCCTTCAAAATAAGGAGTCACTCAATAGGGGCTGCTATTTGAAAAAAAATAAGTCACCCCCTACCCCCTACCCTGTTAAAAGGGTGAAAATGTTATTTTGGTGGAAAAAATTGTGGAACCTTTGTTAAGAATCAATGACACAAATAGAATATTTCTATCTATTTCGGTTAAAAAAATACAAATTTGTTTCAATACTTCATTTACTATGTTCTATACAATTATATAAATACTAGCAGAGTACCCGTCCTTCGTACGGGATTGGCATATAAGTATAAAATGCTTATTGCATTTATACTCAAGCTTTGCGCTTACAATGGGGGAGGACACAGCTTTATAAAATTTCCTTCTTTAAATTTACAGTACCGTATACTATAGTATTACACATCTACCATAGCCATAATGTTCTACCACTTCAGCTAAACAATTACTGAAAAATAAATTATTAAAGATTCACAAAATATCACAAATTATTCATGAAAATAAAAACATAACTTAATCATAAGTGTAAACAATGAAACTTACACAGTTCTCATTGCATATTACAGTTTTTTGTTGCTGCTTGGTTCAAATTAGCTGTTTTAATAAATAAATAAAAAATAGTGCTGCACCCTGTTGATAAATCTTATAACTTTTAATGCTTTTGCATATCATAGAACCAACTTTTTTAGTTGAAACAGCTGACTAAATTCTTTAATTCCCTTTAAATATGAATACTCATAAGGTTATCATGGGGAACTACAGAGCCACTGGGGCGGAGCCCGATAGAATTTTTGAGTTAAGAATATGCCTATTATGTTAATCGGGAATGTAAGCTATCATCATGCCAAATTTCAGCCGAATCCGTCCAGTAGTTAATGCGTGATTGAACTTCAAACAAACAAACAAGCTTACAAACAAACAAACAAACACATAAACTTTCACATTTATAATATTAGTAAGATATATATAATATATATATATGAACGGATGGTGTTTTGGGCCTCTAGGGACACCTAAAAACAAATAAGTAAATCGATCCCGGGTCCAGGTCTTACCATGAGTACTACGGTAATAGCTTATTCCCTATATAGGAAATTCGCAAAAAGGCGGATATCTCGCTAACAAGGCGTATTTTGAAAAATGTTGCTCTCGATATTTGTTTTATTTTGACCTATTAAAAACTTGTTCATAAATTTATTGTATTTACTTACAAGACCCTGTTAATATAATTTTAATTTTAATGAGTGGTGTTTTTGACCTTGTGAAGAAATCAAAGTGGAAAAGGAAATGGGTCCCGATTGTAGGTCTTACCATGAGACCTACGGTAATAGCTCAATCCCTATGGGAAATTCGCTAAAATTTCGACTGAAGTGATCTCTTGTTGCTATTGGACAATAAGTGGGTCAACCCTCATATGTGAGGAACTGATGAGGTCATACGGCTTTGTTATATATGTCTACTAAGGCCAGATATGTGTGTCAAGTTCATTACACAGAAGTCACTGTGACATAAACTACGTTAGACATCTAGTCACCAAACATTCACTGTCATGACTTCAACATTGTCATATCTCTTATCTGTGACTTGCATTCTTATCATCAACAGGTGAGGCCAATTTATAGTTTATATTTTTCTACCTTATTCGTTTAGTCTGCAGGTTTGCTGCAGCAGGGGTATTTTGATATCAAACTGCAGGGCTCTGTCCAATGTACTTTCAAAGTCACCATTAAGGTTCTTAAGAATAATTTAATTTTTTTTAAATTGGTTTCCATCACTGTTTGCATTTTGAACAAAAGTTTTAAATTTTAAGAGGGGAAATCGTAAATTTTGCATGGTTTTCAAGGCAGAACAATGTATGCAATAACTATTTAATTTTCTAAGATTAAGGTTTACTGGGTGAATAAAACTACTAATTTACAATAAATTAAATTTGTTGAGTTTAGATCTACGTAATCTAGAGTTTTATAACTTGTTTGTCCCTTCTTTGCATACTGAATGTGGTTAAACATTCAACTAAAAAGCCCTGAGCTGTTTCCCCCTGGATATCAGGTGTTTCGGTAGGACTGATGTAAACAGCGTACAGGGCCTAGAGGGACAGGGTCTCCATAGCTGAAGCTGATGCATCTCGTTTTCAGCCATGCCTGTAAGTTTCTGTCCCCAAAGTAGCATAGACTTTTCCTAGCAGATCCATAAATTGAAATTTGTTAAAATTGTCTGAGTTTTGTATACACTGAAAAAGCCTTTGATAAAGTTAATCATCTGTCTTTGCTATCAAGTAAAGTTAAAACTAGTTTATATACTAGTTTGGTTTGTCTGAAGGGGCCGTTACACTCTTCTGTTTATACCTCAGGGGTATACTTGCTAGATGGCCTGGATCGTTTGTTTCTTTGGAGTCGTGACAATTTAAAATTTAATTTGGAAAGAGGTTCTGTTGTAACATATCACAGCCACCTCTAATACATATTAGAGGTGGCTGTGAACATATTCAAAGAAAACCCCAAGTCACCTCATCATGCATAGTTACAAAATTTGGGACAATCTTCTTTTAAAGAAAACTTAAATTAAAGATTTGGGTGTAGAATTTGATTTAAGACTTATATAATTATTGTGATGATGTAATTTCCATTTGAAAGACTGTATAATTCTTTTATTATGGCATTAAATTGAATTGTCATTTAGTGGGTTTATTTATGTTAAACGGGAATGTGAGCTATCATCTTACCAAATTTCTACCCTGGCGGTTTAGTATTTTTCGTGTTTACTTGTCACAAATCATCACACACATCCATCCATCCATCCATTCATACTTCCAAACTTTCTCACTTATAATATTAGTAGGATAAGATATAGTGAACATGTGATCAGAGTATTTAAAAATCAAAGGGCATTTAAAAATTACACTTCTTATCTAGGTTGACTTGTTATGGAGGTACCAGTGTGTTTGTGTTTTGTGCTAATAATTTATCTGAAAAAACAAACAAATGATACGTCTAATAACGCTAGTAATTACTAGTGTTATGGGATGTATAATTTGTTTGTTTTTTCAAGTAATTTAATAACACATACGATGCTGATCAAGAAGTTATTCAATAATTTATCCATAATAACACATAAGCATTGGATTAATCAGTTGAGATAATCTAGTAAAAGCTACGATTTCACTTTCAGATCATCAAGTGCCAACAGCTGTCTTCCTGCCGATGACACTGGAGCTTTGTACCTCAAACAGCTGAGACAAGCATTAGACAATGCCGAGTGCAACCTAGTCCAGGGAACCAAGTACCAAGACTACCTTGTCAGAGATGGAGAAATCTTTGACTTTGTTGTGGTCGGAGGAGGGTCTGCAGGGTCTGTGCTGGCTGGCAGACTTTCAGAGAATCCTGATTGGACGGTGTTGCTGCTGGAGGCAGGAGGAGACCCGACAGTCGCTAGTGAGGTGCCGGGGATGTTTGGTGCCACTCTCAACTCTAACATAGACTGGCAGTACCACACAGAGCCTGAGGCCAACAACTGTTTAGGTAGTGTCAACTCCAGCTGTTTGTGGCCGAGAGGTAGAGTCCTCGGAGGCTCGAGCGCCATCAACGCCATGTTGTACGTCAGAGGAAACCCGAGGGACTTTGACAGTTGGGAGGAAACCGGTAACCCTGGATGGAGCTACAAACACTTGCTGCCTTATTTCAAAAAATCTGAACACATGAGATCTAAGGAGGTGTCCGAGAACGTAGACAATTTGAAATATCACGGTAACAAAGGTCCTTTGAAAATAGAGTCGTTTGAAAACAACGGTAAATTTCTCATTGATGCTATCTCAGCAGGTTTTGAAGATATGGGATATCAGTCGTTTAACGATGTAAATGCACAACACCACGAGGGATTTTTCATGCTTCAAGGAACTTTGGACAATGCGAGAAGATGTAGCACTGCTAAGGCTTTCTTACATCAGGTTCAATCAAGACCGAATCTTATGATATCAAAACATTCTTTGGTGCAGAGAATTTTGATTGAGAATCAAACTGCTTACGGTGTTGAATTCACCAAGGGAGGGAATATATTTATGGTTAAAGCTAAGAAGGAAATAGTGTTATCTGCTGGAAGTGTTAATACACCACAGATACTCATGCTTTCTGGCATCGGACCAAAATATCACTTGGAGAAAAATAATATTGAAGTACTGAAAGACTTAAATGTAGGCTTGAATTTACAAGATCACATATTAATGAGGGGATTTATAATAAGTCTCAATGTTTCCTTGCCGTTGAATAATCCTTTGGACAGCATTTATGATTTTTTAATCAATTCAAAAGGAAACTTAGCAGGAGTTAACATTTTCAACTCCGCAGGATTCATAACCACCAGCAAAGCAGATTATCCAAATATTCAGTTCTTTTTCACATCGTTCCCAGCCAATTCCACCGGTGTTTTAAAACAGGCGTTGACTACCATGGGATTCAACAAAGGTATACAGAAATCGATATTAGAGATTAACTCTAACAAGTTCACACTCTTTGTAATGCCAGCATTGTTACGTCCTAAAAGTAGAGGGCGAATATTACTTCGGAATAAAAATCCCTTTGAGCCCCCACTTATATACCCTGGCTACTTTTCTGAAGAGAAAGACATCACTGAAACTCTTGAGGCAATAGATTTTTCCAATAAATTTGCCAAAACGGAAGCGATGAAAAAGCTTGGCGCAAGAGTGGAGTATGTCAAGATTCCCGGATGTGAATCGTTTGTGTTTCAATCTGAGTCGTACTGGCGTTGTGTGATCAAACATATGTCTGTCACAGTGTATCATCCTGTAGGGACCTGCGAGATGGGGTCAGTAGTTGACTCCAGGCTGCGTGTGAAGGGCGTCGGGAGACTACGAGTGATCGACGCCTCCATCATGCCAACAATCACTAGTGGCAACACAAATGCACCAACCATTGCTATTGCGGAGAAGGGAGCTGACCTTATCCGACAATTCTGGAAGTAGCGACTTTTGTAAGATTTGATGTTGAGTATTTCTGTATGAATTAGTTTTAGCTCATTAAAAGAACTGATGGTGACAGAAACAGGAAATAAATTAATGGAAAAGTTCCTTGATAATTCGACTTTAAAGACCAGGATCAATTTTATAGCTTACATTGTAATCATAGCAATATAATATGACCCCTTTGCTGGAGACAACCATTGCAGTTTGGATACTGAAGTCATCCACATAGACCTAAAGTGTCTAAAACTATTTTCTACCAAATGTTTAGTTACTGAGATAGTTGGCATGACATAAAACATGCTATAGCTTAAAATAGAAGTCCTAACAGTTTGTTTTGGCTGAAAAGTCCGCATATTAGAAATAAACTAGTGCACATGTTGCTCGAATTCGAGCAATTGCAAAGTATTACAGGAGTTATTTCAAAACGAATAACAGTCACATTTACAATGAGCTTAAAAGAGTCAAAACTTAAAGATTACCGGTGTGTAACTCAGACCATGACCATGTTTACCTTCGTTATTGATAAACCTAAAGCATTCCGCCCGGTTTTCTCCTTCTCAAAATGCCTCGCTGTACAGGCAACACAGGTCATTGATAGAGGGCCAATTGAGAACGAAAAGTCGTTTTGGGGTAGGGCGCATTTGTAACGTAATAGTTGAGATTGTCCAGGGTCAGGTGCTGACTGTGATGAGTTAAGCCTATTACCCGGCACTGTTCTGTAACTGCGGTCGTTATCACGATTACGCATCCTGACTATGTTTCGTTGTCGTCGCGTCGGAGTCATTTAAAAGAAAAAACAACAAATAAACAAATTATAGCTACACAAACAACGATAAATGCACAAATTTAAGATTCAACCATACTAACACGATCCATCTTGGGGGTTATGTTTACACAAACTCAAATAGTAAATAAATGTACTCAATGCTTTTCATTGAATTGAAAAATAAATACAGCAATTCAATTATACAGCTGATCAAAATGTAAACAATTATGTTCTTCATAAGGATAACATGGGAACTTTTAAAGCCACTGGGGCAGAGCCCAAGGGGCATTTTCAAAAATGTAAGGCCAGTTTAAAAAATCTACGCGACACGCTCTTTCCAATGAGACGTCAATGGATAAAATCGGTTAAGAAATAGCGGAGGAGTTCAACCGACAAAGTTTCATGTGGCGTATTAATTATATAGATCAGTCCTTTACATCAACGCAACCTTTTGGCGGCTTACTTTAACCAAGCCAATTTTGATTTGAAAACTGGTGACAACATAAACATGGGGATGGCGGATGGAATGTTCAGTTCTATCAATAATCAAAGGTACAACATACAGATAGAGTGTTTAAAATGTGTATATTATTATAGGCTATTAAATTTGTTTTTAACACAAACAACTCTTTTAAAGTTTCTATTTTTGACAAGAAATGTGTGTCAAGTACAATGCTTAAGCTAATAAGCTCTAACATGAAGATAAGTGAGGTACTGTGTTAATTCTTTTAACTTTGTGTGATGAAAAAATGTTAAACCATCAAGCTTTGTAGCAGGAAATTCTTTGGTCATCTTGTTACAAAATGATTTTAAACAAATGCCAGATATATCTTGTTATTTAGTAAAACTACTATTTGTTTCTAGTTTGGTTTAACAATTAGTTGATAAGAGATTTTCTGTTAATTTATTTTAACTGTTTTATGTTAGTAATTGGCTCACATGTTTTTGAATCGTGCGGTAAAATTTCATCAAATTACTTGTATAAATTAAGCAATTCTTTGTAGAGAGTAATGGTTCCAATTTGTTTCCAATTTCAAACATCACCACATGCAGTCATTTGTTTGCATTAAGTCTGCCAGTTACTAGCTTCATGGAGTTTATGATGTTGGTTGTAAATAACATACTTTTGTTTGTTATTTTGTTATTGGTAAGTTTCTATTGCTTCATATTCAGTTACTGTCAAACCATACAACTAAATGTAGTCGTAAGATACAAGATCGTTAAGAGTGCAATTTTTACCAAATACCACAAAACTTTCATGTAACTTCAGACCTGTATTTTACACTTTTTGTGCAACTACAAACAATGATACATACTACAGTAAAATAAATGTTTGGCCATAAGAAATTTTAGATGCATACCAATTAATTTACCTCAAAAATGTCATCATCTGGAAGAAGTTGTATCAATGTGAGAAAACTATTTTGATTAATGATTTTTTTTAACTTTGAGTCTTTTAATCAAGCCCGCCTTGAGGGGGGGGGGGGCAGAGGGGGCATTCTGGCCTGGTCTAAAATGTAGTATGTAGTTTATAACGTTATAATATAATAGAGAATATTGCTGAACATACTTTTTCAAAAATTTCACAATCCATGTTGAATTTTAAATTAAATATTTTTAACCTCTTCTTAAGATTTATTGATGATAATTGTTACATAATTTGTAAGGCTTATTGCGTAAGCTGTGCACTTGGGTTGGGGGGGAGTGGGCCTGCGGCACCGATTGCCCAGGGGCCGAGATTTCTCTCTGCAGGCCTGCTTTTAATCATAGAAATTTATTATTAAAGAATTTATTTATAAGAATCAAAAGTTATAGCATTATTTGTTATTTTGGCATCCGTCCAACAAAATCTTATCGTATTTGCTAACATTTATGAACAAATTCAATTAGTTTCAAACTTATGTTTTCAGGTGTTCTGTAAAGTTCATGGATCTGAAAGTAAGTCAAAGATTTTATTGTCATTAGCAAACATGTAAATTTAATTACAGTAATAATTTTGTTTTAAATATTCAATTTTAATTGTTATTTGTATGGATCAAAATTGTATTTGTACCATGAATGGATAAAAGAGTTGACACAGGGTACTATTTTAATTTGTTAAACACCAACCAATTATTTATATTTTATTTAAGTACCTCAATCAGGCTGCAATCAATTATCAATGCAAGTAGCCCATTTAAAACTAATTTTCATAATCCATTTCTTCACTGATTACAATATGACTTCAAACTGTAATCAATTAAGTTAGTCTGCAACGAAACCTTTAAGTGTACTTTCTAGAATTAAAGGCTTGGGCAGCGGAGCCTTAAAGAAAATAACTTCTTTCACTCTTTAGGTCACGAGCTTTGAAAGAAAACCTCAATCGCTGATATTGGAGTAGTAGGAGTAGGATAGGCAAAAATGAGATGTTGCAGAGAAAACCTGTATAGTATTAAGTATATATAGATTGTCGAGAAAACATGATACTTGTAACTTGAATATTTGTAAATGTAGACATTTTAAACATCCTAGTCCGGAAAGCTTGATTTTGAATTCAAATACCTAAAACTGTATTTTGGCTAAATTTTGCTTGACAGTGAAACTAACATAAAATACCCCCGCCGCAGCAAACCTGCCGTCTAAGCGAATTTCCATTTGCCTGAATTGATTTACAATAAATCTATTTTTATAACATTAGGTTTAACGAGTACTTAGGTTTGCTGCTACAAGGAAACTAAAAAAGTGTGTTTTTAAGTAAAATAATTATAGCTTGGTATAAAATCAATAAGATTGCCAAGTTTCATCAAAATATATCCATAAACTAGCAAACTACAACATTTTACAATATTGTCCGTAAGAATAACATGGGAAGTTAAAATAAAGTTTTTTTTTAGTTTTCTCCGGAACCAATACTTCGAACAAAAACACTATGATATACTTAATTATTTGTTTTTTTAAGCTGTTTAAGAAGGTCTATAGAGAAATTGTGAAATTTTTTGTTTTGAGTGTCAAAAATGAGAAAAAACAATTTTTACCCCATAAACCACCCCCCCCCCCTACGTTAAACCCCGTTCCCATGGTCTGATCATGCTGGTTCGCGAACTCATTCAAGTTTATCCCGCCTTACACCTTCAAACCAAATATCATCAAAATTGGAAAAATTACTCAAGTTATCGTCCGGACGGGCACAAACATATATATATATATAAAACTATATATATATGTATATACATATATCAAAATTTGAACGAATGGTGTTTTTGGCCTCTGGAGACATCAAAGTGAAAAAGTAAATCTTACCATGAGACCTACGGTAATAGTTACTTCCCTGTAGGGAAATTCGCTAAAACTGAACTAAATTTGACCTATTCTAAAAATAGATTTAAAAAAAAAATTGGAAGTTATAACAAAAAAAAAAAATGTAAAGCTTAATTTGATGTCAATGCTCCAAACTTACACCACCTGGTTAATGATATCTGTTTGACTCAAGGTCAATGATTACAGCAGTGCTAATGCTACCACCACAGCTAACAATGATATATAAGTATCTTGGCTACAAAATATTATTTATCTAAATTATGCTAGGGCATTCTTTGAATAACCTAAAAGCAGTAAAGACATCCGTTTCATCTAGGGATTTAAACTCAGAGTTAATTACAATTTTAATTAATGTAAAATTATTACAGCCTTATAATCTCAAGACGTAAAATAATTATAAACTCAAATATTGCTAAAATATGCGATTTGTTTTTAAAAGCAGGCCGATTAACATTGAAAAGCACTTTTTCTTCAACCTCTAAGGCCAAAGGGGTTCACCTACTTATCACTGGAGTTTTACATTCCTAAACAAATACATTCCTTAATCCTAAAAGGTGGAAGGGTAACGATGATGATGATGATGATGATGTCCCTGACTGAGGGAGATAATAACAATAGTGCAGCAATCACGGATTATAGTCATCATGACAACAGTGGGATAGAGATTAAACATTGATTTTGTTTGCTATTACTGCAATTAGCAAGTAATTTTACTCAAGATTTTCAAAACAAACTTAAGTTGCCTTATTGGATCGGAGTAGCACATTCTCGTCCGTGCTGAACTATCACTTCGCTTTTTTAATTTACTCCTGGAAGTTTAGACTGTGCTGAACTAAATGTACAATACCGGTACTATCCATCCTTAACACTAACAAACAAAAAATTATCTCACCACTCCTGAAAAAGATACTGGTTCCCCCTGTAAAGATTTTCTGCGGACGCTCTTGATTTCTATATAGCACTCTTTGTTGAACGCAAAATTACTAAATAAAGGTTATGTAAGCCAAGCAAACTATTTTACAAATAAGATAAAAACAAAACATGGTGTAATATATTCTCTAATGGTTGTACCAATGTAAGCATGTTTGTGTGGGT